TGCCACAGGCACAACTGAAGAGCCCTCCCCTATCCATGAAGCACGCAGAGTAAAAGTGAATCTGTATGCTTGGGATGAAGATGGAGTCCAGAGTGCAGCAGAGGCACCATCCTGGATGGAAATTAGCACCTACACCCGCTATGCATTACTCCATTGCTCCAGGTTTCCACTTAACCCTGACAACAAAGAAAATTTATTTATTTTATTTATTTGCAGTATTTGTATACCACCCTTCTCAACCCCAAAGGGGACACGGGGCAATTGTGCAGTGCATATAGGTGTCCTGGCTATTTTGGTAGTTCTTAATCCCACCACACTTTTATTTCCCACTCATGGATGAACTGCAGGATGGCAGGACCCATCTCTACTGTTTAAACATTACAGTTTTTTGAAATGATCCCCTTTGGATTTCTCCCATTGGGAGTAAAAGGGCCTCTAGATCTGCTTCTCACCATATCTGTGGAAGGATAGAATCCTAGAGTTGGAAGAGACCACAAGGGCTATCCAGTCCAATCCCTACCATGCACAAAAACACAATCAAAGCCCCCACCCCTCCCCCAAGAACAGATGGCAATCCAGCCTCTACTTGAAAACCTCCGTAGGCCATGGTCAGTGAGCTTGAGCATCCCAACAGGAGGTAGTTGCCACCCTCTATTAAAAGCATCCAAAAAGGAGGACCACACCAGCTATTTTGGGAATTGGCTGTGTTGTCTATGCTCCTAGTAGACAAGCAACGCAACCATCAGGCTTTGGGCAGCCTACTTTCCTGTACTACAGGCACAAACAAACTTTGCTTTGTCCCTCTTTTTTGGAGAGCCATGCTATACTTAAACATCTCCCGGATTTCCTCCCCAGCTTACGTCCCAAGAAATATCTGCTGCTGCAGAAACGAACGTGTTTTGTTTTGTTTTTGCCACTGATCCTAGTTAATGCTGTGCATGGAATCTGGCTTGACTTTGCTTGCAAAAAGTTTAAATAGCCAGCAGTAATTAAACATAGTGCAAACTCAATCTCTTTCCCCCCCCCCCCCCCCCCCCCCCCCCGTTCCTCTGCCCCCTCCCCTTAAGACTCAGGTTTTGTTCAGCAAGTTTCCTTCCCAAGCAAAGTGGACCATTAGGGTTAAACCGTTAACAGTGGATTATAACAAACATGCTGACAGATCTTTAACTTTAGTGGCACAGCAGCAGCTATAATTCTCCATATTGATTAATTTAGTTAGTTAAACCTGCAATCTAAGCTTATAACCCATTCAGTGATAAATTGAGACTGACCTGCTGCCCAAGCAGCTTTCCTTGATGAAGGATAGGATCGGGTTTAGGTCTCCCACAGAAATACTTGTCCATTTACCATTTTCAATTAGAGAAGCCCATGAGTAAGGGAAAGCAAAACATGGCTCTTTAACCTGGTCAATTATACTAACACGCTGCACCAGAGGGGGTGGCATGGAACAGGAGGAGGGAAAAAAACACACACAAAGGGAAGAGAGAGACAGAGAAAGGAAGGAGGAGAGAACAACCAAGGCACACAGGTGCTGGGGAAAATTCTTATTTAAAAAACTGAAGATCCGATGCAGAAAAGTCTGAAACTAAGTTAAGTACAAGAATGAAGTTGGACCAAGAGGGATAACACAGTGGTTTGCAAAAGGAAAAGCTGTTCCACATGCCAGAGAAAGTAGAAATGCTCTTACGGATGTGTGAGAGCTCAGTATTTTAACACCTCTACTCATCTGACCAGCAGTTGTGCCGAGGAAGGATGGATGGAGGATGGAAGGAAGGAAGGAAGGAAGGAAGGAAGGAAGGAAGGAAGGGTCTAAGTGAACTGCCCTCACCGTCCCATCAACCCAATCTCATCTGTCCCTGGACACAAAACAGGACACTGAGAGAAGAAGGAACTTCTCTGTCTACTGATCAAACAGGACTTGTGTGCAGTGCATCCTCTGTTCCAGCAGAAAAAAAGATTTCAGTATAGAACACACAGGAACATGAGAAACTTTGTACTGAGTCAGATCAACCTGGCCCAATATTGTCAACACTGACTGGCAAAGAATGCTGTGCTTCTGGTACATTTCCACCTCCATCAAGGTCCTGGCCATTGCTGTTAGCTGCCTTCAAGTTGACTACAACTTATGGCAACCCTATGAATGAATGAATGAATGAATGAATGAATGAATGAATGAATGAATGAGAGGGTTCCATTTCTTCTTATCTTCTACAACCCTGCACTCAGATCTTGCAGACCCAGGCCCATGGCTTCCTTGATTGGATGTATGACACTCGAAAGTCCTAAATGGCTTAGGACCTGAACACTTGAAGGTTTGTTTCTCCCTAATCTCCCTGAGGGTTGGGGTCTGCTAGAGGGACTCTTCTCTGTGCCTCAGCAGAGTAATAGTCTGTGGGACAACACAAAAGAAAGTCTTCTCAGCTATGGCACCCTGCTCATTTCAGATATCAGCGAACCCTACTGATATGATCAGAACTAATATGTCCTCCAGTTGCCCTGGAGGACATAGAACATTTCATACCATCATCTGAAGTATCTAGAAAATTCATAGAGAGGATAAACTTTGTTGTATGATAGGTGAAACCATAGGTAGCAGTTCAGTAGGCATGGGAGTCATATTGTTTTGCATAAAGTTTTGGAGAAAGGTGAAGTCAGTAGAAGCAGAGAAAGACTGCATTGTATGTGGAGACAAGCAGAAAAGGAAGCCACGAGTGCCATGTGTTTGCCAAAACCTAAGTGAATCTGGGTTGTTGTAGGTTTTTTGAGCTGTATGACCATGTTCTAGAAGCATTCTTTCCTGACATTTCACCTGCATATGTGGCAGGCATCTTCAGAGTTTGTGAGGTCTGTTGGAAACTGGGAAAATTGGATTTATATATCTGTGGAAGGTCCAGAGTAGGAGAAAGAACTCTTGTCTGTTGGAGGTAGGTGTGAATGTTTCAATTGGCCACCTTAATTAGCATTTGATGGCCTGACAATTTTTAGGAGTGGCTTGTTACTACCTGGGAAAATTCTTTGAGCGGTGATTAGGTGTTCCTGTTGTCTGGAGTTCCCCTGTGTTTGGGATTTGTTCTTTATTTACTGTTATAATTTTAGAGTTTTTTAAATACTGGTAGCCAGATTTTGTTCATTTTCATGGTTTCCTCTTTTCTGTTGAAATTGTCCACATGCTTGTGGATTTCAATGGCTTCTCTGTGTAGTCTGACATGGTGGTTGTTAGAGTGGTCCAGCATTTCTGTGTTCTCAATAATATGCTGTGTCCAGGTTGGTTCATCAGGTGTTCTGCTATGGCTGACTTCTCTGAATTAGTCTGCAGTGCCTTTCATGTTCCTTGATTCATGTTTGGGCAATGCTGCTGCATTTGATGGTCCCTATGTAGACTTGTCAACAGCTGCATCTGCATCTGTCCACAGCTGAATCTGTTGGTACGTGTGGTCCAGGAGGTTTCATAAAGTTACTATGAACTGAAGTTGACTTGAGGACAAATAACAGCAACTGTTAGAATTTATAGTACATGTCTTGGCACTTCTAATCCTATGTGGAATGTGAAAGCTGGACAGCAAAGAAAGCAGATATAGGGGCAAAACCAACACAATGCATTTGAAATATGGTGATAGAGGGAAGTTGTGAGGGTAAAAAAATCAGAATCCAATCCAATTAAGTATCTCAGAGGAAATCAACCCTGATTTCTCATTAATGACAAAATATCTCAAACCCTGCTATTATATCAGGAGAAAAGAATGGAAAGTAAAGTGGAGGACAGTAGTCAAGGGGAAAGGTGAAACAATGATGGATGAATTCGGTCCAGAAAGACGCAGTCCTGAACGTGCAAGACCTGAACAGGGCAGTGGATGATCAGGGATCTTGGAGTTTCCTGATTCACAGAGTTGCTGCAAGTAATAGTTGGGGAAGTAGATGATAAAGCTGAAAGCTAAATGAAAATATGGAGATCACAAATGAAAATATGGAGATTCCAAGAAGCTACCAGTTTGAGTAGGGCAGTTAAGAACAGGATCTTTTGAAGGACATCATTCACAGGGTTGCCATGACTCAAAGCCAACTTGACAACATGCAACAACATCAACAGTTAGCATCCATGTAGGCACAATGCCGCAGGATGATTATCTTGACAAGGGAATGTCATTAGTGCCAATGGGGAGCAAGAAGGAAGGGAGAGGCCCAAGGCTATCTCTAAATTTGCTAAGAGCTATAGCACGGCATTGGCACCAGCTCCAAAGTGGAGACGCCCGGACTTTCTGGCTTCCGCTTCTGCCCCTCCTGGCAAATTTTAAGCCGTTCAAAGCTACGCTTTGTTTTCAAACTGTGTTAGGATTTTCATACAATAAATTCTCAGCCCTGGGAAGATCAAAGAAAAGGCAATTGCTGTTATTAACCTTATTAGCCTAGAAGAAAAACAACACTGTTTTATTTTTTGGTGGTTCACAACAAGCAGTGTTGCCATTAAAGGTTTCTGAAGGTGACTTATCAGAACTGCTGACTTAATGTGATTTTCTTTACTTGCCATTAAACAGCAAAACAACATTTGTCGAAACTGGCTTAAAAGGAAAACAGTGAGATAAAATGGGCCACGGTTTGGTGGGAGTGAGGGCAGCAATACTTGGGAGGATTTAAATACTTAAAGCGGGCTTTGAAGGGGAGAAAAAGCCGTCCCGCTGCTGCAAAAAATGCCCCTCCAAATTATTTACAAATGTATTAAACGTGTCAGGAGTTGCAACTTTAAAATATTTCCACTGCCCAAGAATCGAAGTTTAAAATATATTTAAAGTCTTAGAACTTAGCATATTCCTGCATTTCTTATTCTAACAAGCAATTTAAGGCTTACTATAAATGTCACAGGATATGGCAGTTCTAAGTTTATATTATCCAGCTTGAGCAAAACATGAAATATCAGAGGAACTCAGCTGCTTCCCCCTCGCACGTGGGCAAATTTGACGGTTGCGTCAGTGGAATCTTAAACCAGAGATTACCAGCCATCTTACCGCGAGGTGTCACGCTGGATTGGGGAGGTGGCCGCACTGGCAAGCTCTTTCCTGCCGCCTGTCAGTCCGGGGGATGTCGCCGCGTCCTTCTGGAAGCCCGAAGACAGCTCTGCGGAAAGAGACAAAAGCCCATCAAGACAGGTATTAGCAACCGGGAAGGGTTTGGGCAGGCTTTCGAGCTGTGCCTTCCATTATTGAGAATGTGGAGCCAAACGCTGGGACTGCTCTTCAGGGAACTTTACATATAGAGAATCAGCAGCCAAAGGAGTCATTACTGTTGACAGGTAGGGAGTGGAATATATATTCCTGGGCCGCCCCGAGTCATAATTGCACAATACGCCACACACAGCCAATTCTGCCTCACCACTATGGCTTCAGCATGTGATAACTTACCATGCTCTTGTGATCACTGGGCCAAGCCCTGGCAAACTTTAGCCCTGGACAGGCAGCGCATGCTACAGAACAGCAGAGAACATGCTGCGCTATTTCAAGTGCTCAAGGTAATTTGTGGCCAGAGTGTACACAAAGAATGATCCACATTCTATTTTAATTCTAATGGATGAAAGCATTTCTTGTACAACGTTGCAGCCAGACATTCACGAGTTGGAAACTAAATTTGAAGGGAGTCTGCTCGGAAAAGGGTAAAGAGGATGGGAAATCCATGTCTACAAAGAAGAATCGAGGTAAATTGGATCTCTACAAAAGCAAACAGAGGAGATACACCACATGGTAAGATGGAAAGGTTTGGAAGACACACCATTTCTCTGGACTCATCACTTCTGCAGAGACAGTGAGGCCTAGTGTTGGACAAGGACTCTGGGGGATCAGGGTTGCAATCCTAGCCCATAATAGAAACCCGACTAGGTGAACTTGGTCATGTCACATGTTCTCTGCCCTAAAAGAAGACACCAGCAAACGTCCTCTGAGAAATTCTTACCCCATTGTCATGTGTCATGTTCTGCAGTTGTTGGTGGTGGTAGGCCTAGCAGTTAGTGATAGAAGGGTTAATGTAAGTCTTAGTTCTAAAGCAGTGATTCTCAACCTGATGTTAAGAATCCCCAGATGTTTTTGGTCCCTAGATGTTTTTGGCCTACAGCTCCTAGAAATCCCAGCCAGTTTACCAGCTGTTAGGATTTCTGGGAGTTGAAGGCCAAAAACATCTGGGGACCCCAGGTTGAGAACCACTGTTCTAAAGGGTTAAGTAATTTGTAAGTAAGAATTCATGGGTGAAAGCAATTAAGGGTAGAAGTATGCAAGAAATAGGCTGCAGCTGGGTGTTTCTGGATATAAGGAGCTAGCCTTGGGACTGATCTTCGGAAGAAAAGAATTTGTCTTATTTTGGTAGTAGATGCTGCTGGTTTTCCCCCAGGTTTGTGGATTTTTTGGTATCCTGACCTGAACCCTGGAACCTTGAATCTCTGGACTGGCTTTTGACTACGGTATAGACTTTTGATCCCTGGACTTTGCTCACTGAGTTTGACTACTGGACTGGACCTTTTGACTATGATGTTATCTTGAACCTGCAACAGTGTTTGCTGTCAGTTTTTGTTTTATATTCTATGGCTGAGTGCTATCTTTATCTTTTAGTTTTGGACTATTAAAACAACCAGACAGTAAGTGCTGCTTTAATTAAATTGTTTGGTTCACCTCTTCCGGAATAACGGCAAAGCCCTGGCATTGCAACATGACCTTTTGGTCAGTAGTGATTTTAATACAGCTGACTCCCAACCAGCTGCACCACACCCGGTCCTAAAGCAGAGCGTCCTGCTCCTCACTTCACTGAGGAGTCTTTTCTTTGACTTTCTACATCTCCCTCTATGCCTCAGCATGCAACATGCACAGGACGACCCAGGGTGAGCTGACCTTGTTCATGGGGCTGCCTGCACCTCTCCGGTCACCTCCAAGATAGCAGCTCTCACAACGGGGCAGATGAGAAGGGCTGCCCGTCTTCTTTACCGCTCTGCGCCGGTATGCAGCAAAGACATGCCTATCACTACATCTTATTTTCGGGGTATGGCTTATATTGTGTCATGTTGTCAGGGCTCTGCCTTATTTAGGTAGAGGTGAATCAAACTCCCAGTTTTATCAAACAGTTTAATTAAAACAGCACTTACTTGCTGGCTGTTTGAAAAGACCAAAACATAAAACATAAAGATAACACCCAGCCACAGAATAATAAAAACTGATAACAAAAACAACTCCATAGTCAAAAGGGTCCAGTCCAGTGGTCAAATCCCGAGAGTTCAATAAACAAAGTCCAGTGATCAAGAGTCTATACCGTAGTCAAAAGATTCAAGGTTCCAGGATTCCAAGATTACAGGAGACAGGTCAAGATACCAAAAAATCCTTATATGGACAATGACTCTTAACGGGATGAAATAGATAATGATTTCAATAAAGGACTAAGGGAAAATTTTGTTTAGGGAAAGCAAGAAAGAAGAGGGGAAGTCGGTTTTAGATATGTGGTGTTTTGATGTGTGGGTTTTTTTTGGGGGGGGTTTCTTTTATTTTTCTAGGATTGTCTATGTCGTGCACTCATAATGGCAACTGTATGTACATCTGTTGTTTTTGGTGTTCCTGTATTGTTTGTGATTTGTTTGTTTTTTTGTTTGTTTTTTTTGCTCTGGCTCTTATTGTAAAATCAATAAAAATTATTTTTTTAAAAAAGGATACCGAAAAATCCAACAGAGGTGGGGGAAAAACCAACAGCATCCACCACCAAAAAATAACAGATACTTTTCTCCCAAAAATCAGTCTCAAGGTTAGCTCCTTAAATCCAGTAACACCCCGATGCAACCTATCTCCTGCACACCTCCAACCCTAATTGCTTTCACCCATGAACTCCCACTTACAGATTACCAAACCCTCTAGAACTAATACTCACATTAACCCTTCCATCACCAACCACCATCAACTGCAGAACATATGACATATTGCGCAAGTGCTTAGAAATCCTGCTATGGATTATTTTATCAGTATGTCTTATTTTCAGGAAAACACAGTAGTAGATTGGGTTGTTGTAGGTTTTTCCGGGCTATATGGCCATGTCCTGGAGGCAATTTTTCTCCTGACGTTTTGCCTGCATCTATGGCAAGCATCCTCAGAGGTGGTGAGGATGGTTGCCATAGGTGCAGGCGAAACGTCAGGAGAAAAATTGCCTCCAGAACATGGCCATATAGCCCGGAAAAACCTACAACAACCCAGTGATTCCGGCCATGAAAGCCTTCGACAATACAGTAGTAGATTAATGACCCATATATGGAACTAGTGGAAGTTCCTCTGAAACCAATGAAGGTTGTGCAATTATGATATCTCATGCAATAGTCCAGTATTTCCAGGAGAAAGTCTTCAAACAGAGGTGAGGAAAGCAATCTCTTAATTACTGCAAATCATTCCTCTGACTGCCAAGCCAGCATGTATCAGCCTGTAATTTTCCCCACCAAATTGCTATATAAAGGGGGAAGGGAATAAAGACGAGGGAATAGGGTCAACCATTTCAAGGCATTTAATTTTGGGGGAAGCCCATCGAAAAGTCATGAAAACAACAAGAGGGGGTTATCAATCCAGTATGTGGCATTTAAGAAACCGAAGGAGGTGGGGAATAGAAAAGAAATAATGATAGATTTTTTTAAAAAAAAAGTAAGAAAGGAAAGGAAGAAGGAAAGAAAGAAAGAAAAATAAAAGAAATCCATCAGTGAAAATTGCCCCTGAAAACTTCACAGAATTGTAACGGCTTTCTCTCGCTTAAATTGATTGGTGTAGCAACGTTATGAGATGACTATTAGAATTCATTGCGCGCCACAGAAAGAGCTGAAATGTCAGCAGACTATACAGCAAAAGTAATGGGTCCTGAACTCCTGTTAGTCAAAAATGATTTTGTTTCAAATTAGAAATTGATTTCTTTTGGACACAAGCCCTTTGCCGGCTTCCAACTTTTGTAGCTGAGCCTTGGAAGAGATTAACCTCACTCTCTGTTTGGGTCCCCCTCTGATGATACCCTTTCAAAAGTTTCTTCACAGCCAATGCTCTTTTTAATGTGGCCACGGTCTTAACCAATAACACAAGTTGTTTGTTCCTTGGAGAGCTGCACCACATTTTGCCTTTCTTTCTATTTTTCTGCTGACACAAATCGCAAACTCATTGACAACTTTAAAAGGGAAGGAAAGGGAAGGAAGAGGGGGGAAAAAAAGGAAGGGAAAGGGGGAAAGCCAGCTCAGAAGTGAAGCAAAGATTATGTTAGGCTCTGCAGTGAAGCATCAGGCTGGACCAATTTGTTTCCCTTTCCTTTCATGAGAAAGAATGCTTTCTTCCACTCTTTTTAAGTGGGCGCACAAAGCAAAGAGCAGGGAAAGGGGCTACCTATAAAGATGTCCATTTGATAGAAAATACAGGTTTCCAGAGATGGGGGGTATGAAACTTACACTATATAAACCTACATTTCCTCTCCAAAAGGAAAAGTTTATTTTCCTAAGAAGTCAAAAGCATGTTACTTTATACATACATACTACTGGTAGTATTTGAAGGCACAGACGAGTTCATCTGGAATATTCGTAGCACCTTAGAGACCAACTGTTTAAGGAGCTCCATTGGCTCCCGTTTATTTTCCGGTCCCAATTCAAGGTGCAGGTGCTTACCTACAAAGCCCTAAACAGTTTGGGACCTGCCTACCGCATCTCCGTCTATGAACCCACGAGCTCTCTTCGTTCATCCGGAGAGGCCCTGCTCGTGATCCCACCTACTTCGCAGGCATGGTTGGTGGGGACGAGGGACAGGGCCTTCTCTGTGGTGGCCCCCCAACTATGTATTTTTTATTTTTTTATTTAAATATCTTTATTGACAGTTTTTTTATAATACATAATACATCAGGCGTTACTTACTATTATAAGGAAGGGGTGGGGGGGGGGTTGGGGGGAACTGGGGAGGGGGGTTTTACGTTATCTCTGGAGTGGGAGTGTGTGGTAGGGATGAGAGAGGTGAATCCATTTAAAAAACAAAGTTGACTTCCAATCTAGGTTGCGGGGCTATCAAGTTCCTGAGCTTGCCGTTGTTGTGTTTCTTCTTTTCATTGTCACCTTCGCTTCACTATTCTGGTAGGGATATGTTTTTCCA